CCATGTGTAGCAACATGGATGGACCTTGAGGGTGTTATGCTGAGCAAAATAAGTCAGGCAGAGAAGGACAGATACCATATGTTTACACATATATGAGGATTAGAAGAAACTTAACAGAGGACCACAGGGGAAGGGAAAGGGGAAATAGTGGGGGAGAGGGAGGGAGGCAAACCATGAGAGACTCTTGAATACTGAGAAAAAACTGAGGACTGATGGGTGTGTGTGTGGGGGGAGATGGGCATGGAGGAGGGCACTGGTGGGGATGAGCACTGGGTGTTATATGGAAACCAACTTGACAGTAAACTATTTGTAAAATAAATAAATAAATAAAATAGAAAAAAAAGAAATGTTTCATATATCAACCAAAAAAATGAAAACTGTGTTTGTATTAAATAATAATTATTTTAAAATATGCATGGGGGGAAAAACCTGGGAAGAAACAGGCTAAAGTACTGACAGTGATCACATGCATGATATTTTCTTCTTTTTTCTAAGTTCCAAAAAATTTTAATAGCATAAAATTCCAACTTGTATAGAATGCATAATTTACAAGGAAAATATAATCCTACACGAGGCTCAAACTCACAGACCATGAGATCATGATCTGAAATCAAGAATTGGACATTTAACAGACTGAGTCACCCACTGCCCCCAGTAGGGGGCTTCTTAGAATGCTTCAAGGTCTGGAAATACTCTCCATTTCTTTTCCCGATAGAGGTTTTAAGCACATTAGATTGGTCTTTTCTTAGGGGCCAAAGTAAGAAAATCATCTCTTGGATTGAATGTAGGTTGATGGGCACCCCTTAATCAAAAAGCTGATCAGTGGTTGATAAAATGAAACCTGAAATACGCTTCATTCCATGGGTGTTGGTGGGTGAGTCAATTCCTTCATTTGTAAAGTGGGAGGCCTGGGCTTTATGCTTTCAATGTCACCTTTCAGCTCCGTACTTTACAGGCTTGCTACAGAGCATCTATAGCTGACCCAAGAGCTACTAGAAGAAGCAGACGTAAGAGCTTTCAGGTTCTGGCTCTCAGTAAATACCCACAATAGTTACTTACATCCATGAAAATGGAGAAACAAATGGCAAATACTCTGGCAGCTGTGCAGACTTTCCCACATCCAATTGCTTAAGGTGACAACCTACATGGTCACTGAGCATGAAAACCGTCCCCACACTTGCCCTGTCTTTTCCTCATAGGAGGGTTCCTAGGGTCAAGGAGGTGCCGGAGCTAGAAGAAAATGCAGAAGAGAAACTAAAAGATCTGGAAAAAAAAAAAACCCCCATATTTCCCTGGAGAATTTTCCTGACCATTGCGGGGTGGGGGGTTGGGGGGAGGTGTCAGTTAATAATGAATACATTACGAATCTCCAGAGAGCTTGGAGCTTGGGGTTCCACCAAGTGGGGATTTATTTCCTGATGTGATTGGACATGGAGGAATCACAGGTTCTGTCCTAGGCCCCCTTCTCTTCCTCAACTGCACACCCTCCTTCAGAGTCTCATCCAGTCTTCTTGCTTTAAATATCATCTGGCTGCTGACAATTCCCAAATCGATCTCAGACTCGTGCCTACCTGGATGCCTCATAAGACATCGCCAAAGTAAATATCCAAGGAGAACTCTTTTTTAATGTTTGCTTATTTTGGAGAGAGAGAAAAAGAGAGTGTGCTCACAAGCCCCTTTGGAGGGGCAGAAAGAGAGGGGGACAGAGGATCTGAAGTGGGCTCTGCACTGAGAGCAGAGAGCCCAGGTGAGGCTGAAACTCACCAACCACACCTGTGAGATCATGCCCTGAGCAGAAGTTGGATGCTTAACTGATTGAGCCACCCAGGTACCACTCCAAAGAGAACTCTTAATCCCTGCTTTCATGTCTAAATTTGATGCTCCCCCCAAAACCCAGGAGTCATTATTGATGTCTTCCTTCTCCCTCACCCCTCACAATCATTTCAGTTGTTAGCTCTGTCTCGTTTGAGATCAACTGGCCCCTTAGTATCCATCTCCACTGTGATTCTAGCCATTGTCACCTATCATGGGGGCAGCACCAATAACCTCCTAATTACTGTCTCTACTTCCACTTCTGACCCCCCTCCAAAGTAGTTTCCACACAGCAGCCAAAAGTTATTTTCAAAACATGGTTTCAATTATGCTGTTCACCTGCTTAAAACTTATACCTATATTTTCACTGTGCTTCAGACGAAATCTAGGCTCATGCTATGGGGTCCTGGGCCATTCATGATGGGGTCCTTGCCCTCCTCTTCACCTCACCTGGGGCCACACTTCTTTTGGTCCAGTGCACTGCAGACCCACTGGCTGAATTAGCATGCTAAGTGCGAGCCTGTCTTACTTAGGCTCTTTGCCCCTTCGGTTCCCTTTCCCCCCTACTGTTTGTGTGGCTAATGCTTCTCCTTCACGTTTCAGTGTCAATGTGACTTCTACAGAGAGATCTTCTCTGATGACCTATCCAAAGGATACCCCACCTTCATTTCTGTGATAGGACCCTGTTTATTCTTTCTCAGCGCTTTCTACAAGCTGCCATTATTTTATCACTCATTTGATTACTGTTGTAGTGAGGACACCATCCACATTCTAGACAGGAGTAGAGATTGTGTATCTCACACCCAGCACTGGTACTCAATAAATATCTGTTGATTAAACTAATTAATTAAAGAAGGCAATTAGTTATTCCTACTTTATGGATAGTTGTTAGGAAATCATTCTGATTAACCTAATTTGACTGAGGCATACTGTTTCGCTCCCTCCACCTCTGTGCAGGTAGAGGTCTTGCCACACAAAAGGAAAAAAGAATTTGCAGCCTTGTTTCCTGAAACCAACCCTCAAAAGAATAGAAAGATCTATTCCTTTTGCAGGAGGACATCTGAACAGTCTCCTTTTCTGTAGCCTCTCCCCTAGAAAGCTTCGGTTTCACAGGGTAAAGAGAACATTAATTATAATTTATGTGAGCTGCACTCTATTTTATAGTCAATTGCCTTGTAGCTCAATAACATCTATGTCTATCATTAATATGTGTCAGATTGATGGTCTTTTAAGTTTTATTTAATTATAGCTCAGATAATACAATTTTCCCTTTTTTTAATTAGAGGAAACAATACATCAACTGGATGGACTGTTTGCAACCATAGAAAATTATTATTATGTAGACATAGTAACAAGCAGCAATGTTTATGATCCATTTTAAGAGGTGACAGCAGAATACATGATTGCTCTGATTTGTAATTAAAACTATCAAAGTACATATACAAATGAACAAGAATTAATAGGATATAGGTAACAAAAAACACTTTGGTTTTCTAGTGTGTTTTATTTATGTATGATTCTTTTAAAAATTATTATTATTTCTTGGTCCAATATTCATTGCACAATTGTCAGAGGGAACATGGGCTATAAATATGGCTGCTGGTGCAGACCTGAAGTTACTGTACCGACTAGGAATGCATGGCACTAACCTGAGAAAGTCTCACTCTTACTACTTGGCTTCTTTGGGCTGCCTAAAAATTGTGCCCTTCTGTTTAATACCTATGGCTTCAGTGCCTGACTCAACCCTTGTTCACTCAAATATTCCTATTGGAGGGCGCCTGGGTGGCTCAGTCGGTTAGACGTCCAATTTCAGCTCAGGTCATGATCTCAGGGTTTGTGAGTTCGAGCCCCACATCAGGCTTTGTGCTGACAGCTCAGAGCCTGGAGCCTGCTTCGGATTCTGTGTCTCCTTCTCTCTCTGCCTCTCCCCCACTCTCTCTCCCTCTCTCTCTCTCCTTCACACACAGACACACAAGTAAGTAAAGATTTAAAAAAACTTTTTTTAAACATAACTGAGCATAACTGTCTCTCCCTCTGTCTCTGCTCACTCCTCCCCCCACCCGCCCCACGTTCGCATTCTTTCTGTCTCTCTCTCTCTCAAAAATAAATAAACATTAAAAATTTTTTAATATTCCTATCAGGAAATGACAGCAAGATGAGCATCTGCAAAGGTTATATTTCCTGTTTATGCTCCATGAAGATATCTGTGTGAAAGTGTGCTGGTTAGGGTGGAGAAAGCAGGGAGGACAATGTGTTTAAAATAAGTGCAACAAAGAGCACATGGGTGGGTCAGCTGGCTAAGCATCTGACTCTCAATTTCAGCTCAGTTCATGATTTCAGGGTTTGTGAGATCAAGCCCCATGTTGGGCTCTGTGCTGGGCATGGAACCTGCTTAAGAATCTCTCTCTCCTCTTGCACTGCTGGTGAGAATGCAAACTGGTGCAGCCCCTCTGGAAAACAGTGTCGAGGTTCCTCAAAAAATTAACAATACAACTCCCCTGTGACCCAGCAATAGCACTGCTAGGAATTTACCCGAGGGATACGGGAGTGCTGATGCATAGGAGCACATGTGCCCCAATGTTCATAGCAGCACTTTCGACAATAGCCAAATCATGGAAAGAGTCTAAGGTCCTTCAATGGAAGAGTGGATAAAGAAGATGAGGTTTGTATATACAATGGAATACTACATGGCAATGAGAAAGGATGAAATCTGGCCATTTGCAGCAATGTGGATGGAACTGGAGTGTATTATGCTAAGTGAAATAAGTCAGTCAGAGAAAGACAGATACCATATATTTTCACTCATATGTAAAACAGGAGAAATTTAACAGAAGACCATGGGGGAGGGGAAGGGGAGAAAAAAGGTACAGAGAGGAAGGGAGGCAAGCCATAAGAGACTCTCAAATAATGAGAACAAACTGAGGACGGATGGGGGGGAGAGGGGAAAGGGGGTGATGGGCATGGAGGAGGCACTTGTTGGGATGAGCACTGGGTGTTGTATGGAAACCAATTTGACAATAAATTATATTTTAAAAAAAGATTCTCTCTCTCTCTTAAAAAATAAAAAAATAATGAATTTTAACAAATGAAGTTACAAGGAATGGGATGGATTTGTATGTCCCATATGCAACAATTCCCAAAATCTGTTGCTGATTTAGTTTTCTTTAAAAAGTAGAAACATGTCATGCTTGCTTCAGTAGCACATATACTACAGTTGGAACAATACAATCAAGATTATTATGGTCCCTGAGCAAGGATGGTACACAAATGCATAAAGTGTTCCATATTTTTCTTTTTAAATAGATATTTGACTGTTAAAAAAAAGTAGAAACATGTGCATTATACCATCATTTTATTTAAACAAAATAAAAAAGAAAGTCAGAGGAGGCTATATATTTATATCTATATATAGATTTCCTTACAGCATGGCTTTACATACATATATATGCTACATATCTATAATACAGATGTGTATATTAGACAGTCACACACAGAGATATGTTCCTGAGCAAAGATGTATCTGGAAAGACAGACAACACACCGGTAATAATGGCTGCCTCTAAGGAAGTGAACTGAAAGGCTGAGGTGTGAGTGAATGTTACCTTTCACTGTATCATCTTTTGTACTGTTTATTTTTTTCAATGTTTATTTATTTTTGAGAGAAAGAGACAGAATGTGAGGGGAAAAGAGGCTGAGGGAGAGGGACACACAGAATCTGAAGCAGGTTCCAGGCTCTGAGGTGTCAGCACAGAGCCCGACATGGGGCTCGAACTCATGAGCCGTGAGATCATGACCTGAGCCAGTCAGATGCTTAACCGACTGAGCCTCCCAGGCACCCCTCTTTTGTACTGCTTAAATACTCACTTTGGACGTATATTAGCCATGCAAACACATAATTAAGTCTTTGTTGATGAAGATAGAGAACCATTTGCCAACAAATTAAAATAACTGCATATAGAGCAAGTTCTGTTTCATGAATGGATTTTTAAAACATACATAAAGGATGAAAAGTAAAATAAATACAACCAGTATTGTTAAGTGCTGCCTAGAGGGGCAGATATATTAGAGAATTAGAAGAGGTCACTATCTGCACTGATTTGCTAAGGCCTCCATGACAGAATACCACCAACAGGTGGCTTATGCAACAGAAGTTTATTTCCCTGCAGCTCTGGAAGCCCGGGGGACCAGAGTCTCAGCAGGGTTGGCTTCTTCTGAGGCCTCTCTGCGTGGCCTGCAGACGGCCACCTGTTTTCCCACATTGCTCATCCCTGGTGGCTCTTTGTGTGTCCTAATCTCCTCTTCTTAAAAGGACGCAGTTAGATTGGATTAGGGTCCAGACTCACAGCCTCATTTTAACTTCACCTCTTTTAAAGGCCCTCTCTCAAAATACAGTCATGTTTTAAAGCTTTTAACCTATGAATTTGGAGGGACACAATTCACAACATTAACCTTGAGTTTTCATTTGGGTCAGGGAGCTAAGCCATATATGCTTGAGGGAGAGGAAAGAAACAATGCTAAAGGCACCACACAATTAAATGTCAAAGTTAATATAGAAGCTAATGTGTGAAATTTTCTTTTTTTATTTTTTTAATGTTGATTTATTTTTGAGAGAGAGACAGAGCAGAAGAGGGACAGAAAGAGAAGGAGATGGAGGATCCAATATACATTCTATACTGAAAGCAAAGAGACCAACGCAGGGCCCAAACTCATGAACCTGTGAGATAATTTATATATAATTTACCTGAGCCAAAGTCAGATGCTTAACTGACTGAGCCATCCATATGACTCTGGGTGAGATTTCCTAGAGATACCCAGACACAATCTCCTATTTTAAAGAAAATGAAAATTAAGAATACATGAGGGAGTAAACAACAGTGAGTTCTTGCCATAATTACTGTACCAGGTGCAGTGGGCAAGGGTCTGTCTGTATGGAGTTTGGAAAAACAAGTAGTTCACTAAATTATAATGTGATATGCCTATCTCCACACCATACCAAGGCAACTCATGAAGTCAATCAATTTAGTGAAAAACTAGTATCCCTAATGCTATTTGAAGTTGTCTACGCAAGAGAAAATTAGACTGTTGAAAAGTTTTATTTGTTACATTATTTTATAACAAGAACAAATGAGTGGGACTCATACACATAAAAATATAAAAATCTGTCCATCCAGGAGAAGGCATTATAAATCATTCTTGTTAATCAACTCAGGCAGCAAATATTTAGGTGAGTGCCCCTAAAAGGAGCCCGGGTCTTTTGAGGGCTTGCCATAGATCAAAAAGAAAACCACCATGTCTGCCTGATGGAGCACTCGATCCAGCCAACTGAAACTTCCAGTTGGTTAGATGCTTCCCCTGTTATTTTAACACCTTGACCCATCTTCCTTACTTGTCTCTTCTTATCCAATTTCTCCTTCTCTCTTTCCTCATTTTTTATCATTCTCTGTACATTTTCAATAGATAGAAGGGCACATGATTTAGAATCACACCAAAGTGATGTAGTCCTTAACCTCCCGGCTCCACACAATGCGATGGAGAAAGTTCTGTATGACCTGCTATGTACAGGATTTCCTAATAATATTCTGTTCAACCCACTCCTCAGGAACTGTGAGCGCTTGATTAGGCAATGTGTATGAAAGCACTGTAGGAGCAGTGAAGTCCTCTTCAAAAGCTGCCCACTGCTACTGTGCAGAAGTAAACAAAATAAGGACCTGAAACAGCAATCAGATCCATTGGAGCTGCTCATGTGGTCCAGTCCACTGTAGCCATCAGGGACCTTGAGAGTATCAGGGCTAAGAAGATGTGTTTCTGTTGCTCAAATGGTGAAATGAGGAGCCATGCAATGAGGGAAAGCCCCATTGGTAAATGTATCAGGAGCAAATATACATACCATGAAACAAAGGGAATTTTGATATCTTCTTGCATTTTGAAAATTGCTTGTATATATATATAAGTCATCAGTGATGACTAGTAGGTTTCCTTCAAAATGCCCATCTTATGGGTATCTCAAAGGGATATATCGTAAAACAGCACAAATGGTATTTTTGGTAGTCTGAATCCAGGAAAAGAAAGAGATCCAAGAAATTCAAGTGCCAGTTAGCTCCACTATGTGATCAATCACTTGGGAAAGATTATGTGGTGACCCAAATACCATTTAAAAGCAAAACAACTGTGACACTGGTGGGCTGCAAGTTGACCGCACATACCTCCTTTCCCTCCAAAATGGAAGCTGTGGTCACAGTGTAACAGTGGACTCAGCCCCCACCACTGCTCCCTGATTGCCTGTGACAATGTCAGAGGAGATGAGTCTTCAGGACAATTCTCCAGGCCATTGACCTGGGCGACACAAAATCCTAAGGGGGATCCAAACAAAGTAAGTTGTCAGCTCGCATTTTCTCAGCTTAAATTTCTGGAGGAAGATTGCCACAGGTGTTTGAGAAAAAAAAAAGTGTCAGAACACTTTTTGGATTAGCTGAGCTCCAGACACAGGCTTGTTTGTTTATCTGTTTGTTTCTCCCCACCAGCCTGACTTAATCAGTCAATCTAAATAGCAAAATTCCATTTTGCCTGAAGACCCAGCCTAGTTTTCATGAGAACACCTATTTGCTTTGAACGAGAGGCCCTTGGACCTTACCCTGCCCACAGAAGTGTCCACATCTAATCTAGGATGAAAAACTTTCTGGTTACCCTGGGGTTAGAGAGGAAACTGGGAATGGAAAGCATTATACCAGTCAGTACCTACCTGTGCACCAGATCAGACCAGCTCCCGCTAAGCTGAGCCACAGAGCACCTGGAAGGGCAGCATGGAACTCCTTGCTGTCATCGTTTGTCCTTTCCTCCCCTGCTTTAGTGCTTCCAAGGAAGGGGAGGCCAATATGAAACTGGGGAATCAGGTCCACTCTGACCTTAGATTCCATTCATGTCTAGTCAGGGCTTCTCCAGGCATGGCTAGGCCCTCCTGAAATGTTCCCAAGCTCCCAGTAGGCGTTTGTAGAAGGAGGTGAAGGAGCGATGAGGAGGTGCTACATGTTGCACAGATGTGGTGATTAGGCCTCTGTGTCCTCCCAGCAGGGAGGCATGCTATGGGAGAAAAAAGCATGGACTTTGAAGTCAGACAGGCCTGGGTTCAAATCCTGTTTCAGTCACTGTATTAATCAGCTTAGGCTAAGTTACGGTGTTTGTTAACAAACAAATCCAGAATCTTGGCTGCTTGCAATAGCAAAGGTTTATTTCTCACTCAGTCGACACATCATTTGTAGGTCAGCTGCGGTTCTGTTTCATGTTATCTTCTTCTCGAGACCCAGGCTAAAGGAGCAACCTCTGTTTAGGAACCTGACCTTGTGGAATTAGAAGGAGATACAATGAAATTATATGCTGGTTTTTAAAATGTCTGCTATCCTTACTTCCATTCATATTTTACTGACCAAACCAGTTATACCACCAAGTCTAACACCAACAGAGTAGGGATATTTAACCCATCCCCAACAAAGGACAGCAAATATGTTGAACAATAACACACCTTGCCATAGCCACTTACTAACTGTGTGTCCTTTGGCAAATTACTGTGAGATGGGAACAGTGATGTGAACCTAAAGTTGATGGCAGGAAGGTTAAATAAAATATGGATTTTAAAAATGAGTATAATATAGTAGGAACCAGAGAAGTTAGTTCCCTCTCCCTTTTCATATACAAGACTTATCAAGAAATTCTCATCCCTTCAGAATTAACTTTTATGATTCTCTTCTACGCTAGTGTGTCAATGTTAATTACTTCTCTTGAGAAATACGTGCATTTTAATAATGGCTTTACATGCTATTTTAACCTAAAGTCTTAATTCTAATGGTGGGAATTTCAGACACCAGAAGTTGTTGATATTCTTGACCACTTGCTTTCTTGCACCTATGGCCCTCTAGACTTTACAGTTTGGATCACTTATCGGAATTAGGAGGAACTATAATGCATCATGCCATGTGAGAAAATGATAGTTGGAACAGCTTCAGCTCAGGCCCCCAGGACTCTCAGAGAGTGTGGAACATACCTCAACAATTTTGATGACATCATGTAAATAAGTATAGACATTGCAGCAGAAAGAGGAGTTACAGGGTTGCCAGGGCAGCCACTGGGCCAGGTGAGGTGATACCCCATTGGGAGAGGAGGGTGGAGACATGGACCAATGGCCAGGCCAAAGACACACAATTGTCTCTCTCAGTACCAAGGGTGGGGTGGGAAGAGAATCAGACAAAGTTTGACATCACCCTCAAGGAAATCTGAAGTAGTTATTTCTACAACACCAC